TTTAATTAGTATATATATATATATATATATATATATATTTGATCCCAAATAAATTAAAACATAATTAATTATTATCGTTCTTTTTCCCTAGTCGCCAACTTGTACAAAAAGACATTCTTCTGCAGCCGATGGCGACCGCTTCAATTGACTTCCCTTTACTGTTAACCTTCGCGGCAGCCAATGGTCTCGAGACTTGATCACCTAATTAATGAATCTAAGCTTCTTACGTTATCAGGAGCATTGAATATATGATCCAACGTCAGATGTCAGCTGAGTAAACGAAGGAAGCATGAAAGTTGATCGAAGCCGTCCGTCAATGTCAAAGCCCATTATTGGTATTTCACTAGAAAAATCTTAATTCTATGCGGAAAAAAAATATGTTTTGTTTAATAATTATTACAATTTGTGATCGTATCGAAAACTTCAGCTGTCAATAAAAAGTTAGAATAATTATTATAATCATCTTCTTAGTCAGAGATAAATCATAGTCTCCGTGTGTCGTCTGCAGAAAGTTCTTTTACGAGGATTTGGAAGCGGTACCCCTCCGATATCATTAAATATTTGACATTTCTGCCCTTTGGGTTCTTCTGGAATCTCCGGAGCTCCTTCGTCACAAACTAATTTCATCATCTTCTTCTTATTATTACCATGTCATAGCGCTTAATTAATAGTTGTCGTTCTCTCTCTCTCCTCTCCCCCCTCTCCCCCCTCTCCATCGACGAGAAGCTTCGTGGAAGGGGGAGGGAAGGAACGGGGCTGAAGATGAGTAGAAAAACCACATTTTGGACCGGCGGTGAGCGGCCAGACGCTGGGAGGTCTCTCTCTATCTCTCTCCGTCAAATACAACGTAGTTGACCGGTTGTGTCGATTGACCTTCTAGAAAGTCTGGATCCATTTTGCGAATGTTTCTTCACGGAATTGGTGCGCCATTTCGACACCAAATCCATGGGCTCGAACGAGATTTTTATGAGATTTTCTAGTTTGGTTTTCCTTCGCCCCACCCTCGGGCTCGAGTCAAAAGCTTGGAATTGGTGCGAGGTTTGAAGGTTCAACGCGACGCTGCCGTCCCTTCCGACCACGAATCTTTCAACGAAGATGGCTCTTTTAACATTACTCCCCTCCCTTGTCATTTATAGCAGCCTGAAAGCTCTGATGATCTAGGGATTCTGGCGTCGGACGGATAAATAAGCGATTTTTCTGGCCCTTTTTATGAATCGGGCTTGCAAGTGCATCGGAGGTGTGATTTTTCTTGAGTTTTTTGTGTCTTCACATTGAGATTCTTCTCTCTTTTCTAGAGTCTGCTGCTTCTTAGCTCACCGGTCTCGGAGAGGGAGGAGGTTGGATTGGATCTTCTTCGTTATCTATTTGTGTCTGCCGCTAGGCGTGGGTTAGTATTATGGGAAGTTCTTAAAGGCGAGACTTTTAAGAGTTCTAGCCATTTTTGCTAAGATTGGTTTTGTCGAAGACAAGGAGATACTTTTGTCTGCTGGGGGAATTTAGGGAGTTGCAGGGGCTTTAAAGCTTTAAAGGTTGTATCTTTCTGATTTCTCCTTGAAATTAGTTTTTCGAGTCTGGTGAAATCGTGGTGTAAGTGGAATGGCGCGAGGGAGGAGAAGAAAGCTTCATTTCGGTCGATTATACAGTTTTGCTTGTGGTGGATCGAAGTTCGACGTCGACCACTCTCAGATCGGAGGCCCGGGCTTCTCCCGTGTGGCCTATGCCAATGAGCCAGATTGCTTCGAGGCTGCCAACCTAAACTACGGATCCAACTACGTCTCTACCACCAAGTACACATTGGCTACATTCTTCCCCAAGTCACTGTTTGAGCAGTTCAGGAGAGTTGCTAACATATTCTTTCTATTTACTGGATGCCTTTCTTTTACCCCACTGGCCCCTTACTCTGCTGTCAGCGCGATTCTCCCACTAATCGTGGTCATTGGAGCCACCATGGCGAAGGAAGCTATCGAAGACTGGCGACGATATCAGCAGGTAGGTTCTTACAATCCTCTTTTAAAGATGATTGATGATGCTATGATAATTGTGATGCATCTTCCTGGTTGCATGTGGCAGACTTTTTTTTTTTCTCTTGATGTTGTAATTAATTTGGAATTCTAGACCAGCAAAACTGTTTTACAGAATCCATAGCATATCTCACTTTTAACTTTAGACTATCTTCATGTGTTTCTAACTGCAAATTGTGAATATATGCAGATGGGCAAAACCGAATATGGTAACTTGTGAATGTTTGGAAAATGAGAGGTTCTCTGGCAGGATGATTGTGGACTGTTGGTGTAAGGTTCTAGAATTTGATCTAGACATAGTTCGTATTAGAAAGAAAACAGAACTGGCCTTGTTTATCTAATTATCTTATACACACATATGTTGAAGTTAACATTTATAGATACCTAGTAGTTTTGGTATAACCTAAAATGCCACCTGCGTCACTGAAGAATATGTTTTGTCATGAAAGGAAACAAAACTTGGTTCCACCGCAGGATTAGTAGTGAGCGATCTAATTATCTGATCCTAATAGGAGGAAATAATTTTTACCTCTCATACTTTGCTACCGATGATGGAAATTATTAAACTGCTTAGGTTTGGTGAATACCATATGTGTTCTTCTATTAGCTTTCTGGAAGTTATGTATGATTACCAAATTCGTCCCCATACTTCACACTGAAAATGCTTAAAAGTTTGATGTCAATATTTCCTTATGCAGGATCTGGAAGTGAATAATAGAAAAGTCAAAATACATCGTGGGGATGGCAAATTCGAATTTACAGAATGGAAGAATCTTAGGGTTGGTGACATTGTGAAGGTTGAGAAGGATAACTTCTTCCCCACTGACCTTGTTATGCTTGCATCGGGTTATGATGATGGACTATGTTATGTCGAGACAATGAACCTCGATGGAGAAACAAACTTGAAATTGAAACAAGCATTGGATGCAACTTCAGGTTTACAAGCAGATTCTAGCTTCCAAAATTTCAAGGCAATTATCAAGTGCGAGGATCCAAATGCAAGCCTCTATACTTTTGTTGGAACCATGGAATATGAAGAGCAACAGTACCCTCTTTCACCTCAACAACTTCTTCTTAGGGACTCGAAGTTGCGGAATACTGACTACATATATGGAGTTGTTGTTTTCACAGGTCATGATACAAAGGTGATGCAGAATGCCACAAATCCACCATCGAAAAGGAGCAAAATTGAGAGGAAAATGGATAAGCTAATTTATCTTCTCCTGTTAGTACTGGTTGTGATCTCAGTTATTGGGTCAGTTATCTTCGGTATAATAACCAGTGATGATATTCAAGATGGCAAGATGAAAAGATGGTATCTTAAACCTGATGACTCTTCAATCTATTATGATCCTAAGAAAGCAGCTGTTGCGGCAATATTGCACTTTTTGACGGCCATGATGTTATATAGCTATTTCATCCCGATTTCCTTATATGTTTCCATTGAAATAGTTAAGGTTCTGCAGACTATTTTTATTAACCAAGACATCCAGATGTATCATGAGGAGTCAGATAAACCTGCTCATGCACGGACATCAAACTTGAATGAGGAGCTAGGTCAAGTTGACACGATCCTTTCGGACAAGACTGGAACTCTGACTTGCAACTCAATGGAGTTCATTAAATGCTCAATTGCTGGAACTGCTTATGGCCATGGGTATACTGAGGTTGAGAGAGCAATGGCTAGGAGGAAAGGGTTCCCATTGATGGAAAATGAACAATCTAATGAAAATCATGAGCACCCAAAACTGGCAGTTAAAGGGTTTAATTTCGATGATGAACGCATCATGAATGGGAATTGGGTTAATGAGCCTCACTCGGATGTCGTTCGGATGTTCTTTCGGTTGCTGGCAGTCTGCCATACTGCAATACCTGAAGTAGATGAGGAAACAGGGAAAATATCATATGAAGCCGAATCACCTGACGAGGCTGCCTTTGTTATTGCTGCAAGAGAACTTGGCTTTGAGTTCTACCAGAGGACACAGACGAACATTTGTATCCGTGAATTAGATCCAGTGTCAGGCATGCATGTCGAGAAGTAAGAAAAATATCTGCTGAACTATTTTCAGTGAATAATGTCCATTAAACTTGCACCTGATGTAGACTTTAAATTGCTTGATGTCGTTTTTGTTTTCACAACTCAGTCTGATATTTGCCTTGGCAGGTCATATAAGCTGTTAAGTGTATTAGAATTCAACAGCACCCGGAAGCGGATGTCTGTAATAGTTCAGGATGAAGAAGGAAAGTTGCTACTCCTCAGCAAAGGTGCTGACAGGTCTGTAAGCTGCTTATCTTGTCTACTGGAAACATAATAATGGAATAAAGCACAAGATTCCCACTTATTATGTTCTTCATTTCTTAATAGACACCTAGAATTTCTGATGGAATTTGTTGTTCATATGCACAGTGTTATGTTTGAAAGACTAGCTCAAGATGGAAGGGAATTTGAAGATAAAACTAAGGAGCAGATGCATGAATATGCTGATGCTGGTTTAAGAACCTTGGTTCTCGCATATCGTCAGCTTGATGAAGAAGAATACAAAAGCTTCAATGAAAAGTTCATGGCCGCTAAGAATTCAGTCTCTGCTGATAGGGATGAAAAAATTGAGGAAGCTGCAGATTCAATAGAGAGGGATTTGATTCTTCTTGGTGCCACGGCTGTTGAAGATAAACTGCAAAATGGGGTGAGTTGGAATTTATCTGGACATGATTCATGTGTATTTTATGGCCATTTCATGTATGCATTTGCTTATTGTTTTCATTTTCTGGGTAATGGGTGAACAGGTACCTGAATGCATAGACAAACTTGCACAAGCTGGGATCAAGATATGGGTTCTGACTGGTGACAAGATGGAGACAGCCATCAATATAGGGTACACATTTATTTGATCTGCACCTTGAAACCTTAACAGGAAAATTACTGATTCTATCTTCTGGCACGTTGTCTTCAACTTCTTCTTCTTACTTCTTGCAGCTACGCTTGCAGTCTTCTAAGGCAGGGAATGAAGCAAATAATAATCACTTTGGATGGACCAGAAATAATAAGGTTGGAGAAAGATGGGAACAAAGACGCCGTTGCTAAGGTAATTAGTTCAGCAGGAAGTATACCAAAGAAAATTAGCATAAGTCCTAGCATTGAAAAATCTAGATGCCACTAAGTGGCTGTAATATTTCTATACTTGACCTCTTCAAATACCAGTTCTAGAAACGGATAGTGTATGATACTAGCTAAATGAACTATTAAGGAACGTATAGATAGTGCAGTTTGAAGCATATTTTGATGACTTAAAATGAAAGTACTTGCAAACTTCACTGAATCCTGTCTTTCTTAAAAAAAAAAATGCCAGGTAACTTGCACTTGATTCCATTCAGTTGAAACTGCACCATTAGAACATCTTCAATGTTAACTGTTCTTATGAGCTTAACTCATAGTAATACCAAGATCATTTTGTTTATACACTTCATCATCGATTTTATATTTGGTTTATGTGTATGCAAGATGCTTTTGTCATAAGCTAAGAGAGAGAGACACACAAATGTTTTCTCCATTTTGGCCTTTGCTACAATATCTTGTTTTTAATATTTCAGGCATCAAGGGATAGTGTCATCTATCAGATAAACGAAGGAAAGAAACTTCTTAGTTCGTCAAGTACTGAGTCATTCGCCTTGATTATTGATGGCAAATCACTTGCATACGCTTTGGAAGATGATGTTAAGAACTTATTCTTACAACTGGCTGTTGGATGTGCATCAGTTATATGCTGTCGTTCCTCCCCCAAGCAAAAAGCCCTCGTGAGTATGGATAGTTTTCTAAATGGAGAATAAAAAAAATATGAAAAGAGAAGTCTGGTTGATACTTCAGGTAATTCATCTGGTTTGAAATTAATGGAGGTGTTTAATCATTTTCAGGTAACAAGACTTGTTAAAGCTGGCACCGGGAAAGTAACCTTAGGAATCGGTGATGGGGCCAATGATGTCGGAATGCTTCAAGAAGCAGACATAGGGGTTGGCATTAGTGGTGCTGAAGGAATGCAGGTTAGTGATTGCACCTACATGTTTGGTGACAGAAAACCACAAAAAGTTCAGTGAAATGCTAGACTGCACGCTGCTGCCTTGTTGCCCTTCTACACTTTTTAAGTGTTTTGATCTTATAAAGTGCATCTTAAGTGTTTTTTTAAAATATATCCATTGCAACAATTTTTTAGGCTGTCATGGCGAGCGATGTTGCAATAGCTCAGTTTCGCTTTTTGGAGCGTTTGCTACTCGTGCATGGGCATTGGTGCTACCAAAGGATATCATCAATGGTATTCTCTCTCACATAAATTTCGGTTTCAACTCTCTTTTCAGCCTAGTCTCCTGACATGTTCCTTCATTTTGCAGATATGTTACTTCTTCTACAAAAACATCACTTTTGGACTCACCCTCTTCTTGTATGAGGCATATGCATCATTCTCTGGCCAACCTGCATATAATGATTGGTATCTGTCATTGTATAATGTCTTCTTCACTTCTCTTCCTGTGATTGCTTTGGGGGTATTCGATCAGGATGTTTCTGCTCGGCTTTGTTTAAAGGTATGTCCATTGCCATAGACCACAAAGTTTGTCCTGTGATGATTGTTCTCAATTATTTTACCTGTGATGTGTATGTGATCTCTCCAACTTTTCTGTCTTTTCATAGTGTGATCTGTAGTCGATTAAAAGTTAACCATACTACCACCAACTCTGTGACAATATACTAATATATCCTGTGAAAACAAGTTGTACTAACTTCATTTTTAAACATTTTAGAGCTCCTTGTTTCCTGAAAAATTCTTGGGAATCATTGACGACTAAGTTTGACGGCAAATCAGAGTGTAGTTTTTGATGGTAGGATTAGCTTTATAATATCATAGCTAAGCATTACTTCACTGAATGACTATCTATTGGCAGAACTATCCAACTAGATACTGTAGTTGGGCAAAGAACAGTTTTTAATGTCGAAGGTATTTTCACCGTTGTACTCCTTTCCTTACCTTTATGAATTTTTGGCTGAAGTTTCGACTTTATATATCCATCAAATGACATCATGTGCTCATGCTAATAGATAGCAAAGAAGAAAACAAGTTTATGAACTTCAGCAAGTAAAAGGGTAATTTTTGTGTATAAATATATTCTTCACTGTTTTTTTTATAAGATCCAAAATAATGCATCTTGTAGCCCTTATGACCAAACAATGTATAGATGTATAGTTCATTTCAATGGAGTAAATGTTTCAAGTATTCTTTAACCTTACATACTTTGTTTTCCAGTTTCTGATTTTTTTTAGGAATTTATCAAACAAAAAATTCAACTACATCATGTAATATGAGTGAATGAGAAATCCATTGTTGCATTCAAATGTTTATTCATTGCTGTTACCCTGGCACTGTTTTGTTGCTTTAGAACATTTAGATCCTGAAACTTTGCCTCTGTTTGGAAACAGTTTCCCATGCTTTACCAAGAAGGCGTGCAAAATGTCCTGTTCAGCTGGCTCCGGATACTGGGTTGGATGTTCAATGGTGCCTGTAATGGTGTCATGATCTTCTTCTTCTGCACTACTGCACTACAGCACCAGGCCTTCCGAAAAGGTGGTGAGGTTGTCGACTTTGCAGTTCTTGGGGCCACAATGTACACATGTGTGGTATGGGTTGCCAACTGTCAAATGGCACTCTCTGTCAGCTACTTCACTCTGATACAGCACATTTTCATCTGGGGTGGCATTGCTCTGTGGTATCTCTTCCTGCTAGCCTACGGAGCCATCACGCCCACCTTATCAACCTCTGCCTTCATGGTCTTTGTGGAGGGGTTGGCCCCAGCTCCTTCATATTGGATCACAACACTCTTTGTCGTCGTTGCCACCCTCATCCCGTTCTTCACTTATTCGGTTATTCAGATGCGGTTCTTCCCGATGTACCATAACATGATTCAGTGGTTGCGGTTTGATGGCCATGCGGATGATCCTGAGTACTGCCAAGTGGTGCGCCAGAGGTCGGTCAGACCTACGACGGTTGGGGTGTCTGCTCGGATCGATGCAAAGGTTAGTCAGTTAGGAAGCAGAGTCCATCATGTAGTTCACTCACCATAATCTGTTGTGTCATCTGAAATCGGTCACTCTTGTACAGTTACACTCTCAACCATCTGCTTCTATTCGAGAATCCTCCTAAATTGTATCATTAGATTCCCTAAAAAAGTGCGGAGGCTCGAGTCAGAGCTGCTGCCCGGATGGATGATGTTGGTTTGAGTATTTAGGTTTTGGAGGTCAGGTTAGAGTGTCCATGTATTATGAGTTTATTTTTGATGCCATAGCAGCTGTAAATTTTGATTCTTTGCCCATTCGGTGTTGATTCTTTTTAATACAGTAAATTCTTAGTCCTTGTCGCAATTGATTCAAATGCATTGCCAAATTTTTGACTTCATCTCATGTTCTTTCAACCTCTTCTGAAACGATGAACTGAAGAATGGGCCAAAGAGGTGATCGAACATGTACTCGGTTTTTAATTCCGGCAGAAAGCATTATTGCCATCTATGATGATTCCATCTTATGACGAATACATGGGAGTCGAAAGTGTATTTGAATCAAAAAAATAGCAGAGGAGGAATGACATTTGCAAGATCATTTCTTAGTAAGCTACCGCATGCTTTTCAAAAATGAAGAGTCGAGCGCTCGCAACATTCGGTTCAAATGCGATCGATCGACGTACAAGAAAGCTTCACAGACAAACCTTGCGAAATCAGCAGCAACAGCTTCGAGTTGCCAAGTCTTTGAGGAGGGAATGATCGATCCATCGTAGTAGCTCATGGCTGTGGCAAGGCAAGTGATGGTTCCGACTCCGCAGCTACCGCGGCCTTCGCCTCGCTCACGATGCTGCGACGCCACGTGCACCAGCTCCATCTTCGTCGAGTCCACCCAACACAGTCGTACGATGCGTCGGGACCGACGACCCGCGACGCGCACACCCGCCCAAAGACGCATGAGAACACCGTCAGGATCACTATCGCCGACATGACGGCAAAGAATGGCCCGAGCGATCCCGAACGATGCCCGGAAGGAGCTAAAGCTTGTCCTCGGTAGTCTGGTACCGGCGTCATGGTGGTCGAAGCCATCACAACGAAGGAAGAAGAACAGAAGGGGGAGGTGGAGGAGCCACAGTTGTGTCAGTTTCATGCCACCTTACATGCCGAAGGAACAGAGGACGAGTCTTGTAAAGCTAAAAAGCAAGGAGCCAGCTTTTGTGGTTTAGTGGAGAACAACATGGAAAGGAGAAAAGCTTAATGCATGGTCGAAGGTTTTATTAGTGTGTGTGACTAAGAAAGATGGATGGATGGTTTGTCCGATAAGATTCTCTTTAGTTACCTTCGTTCCTTTTTCTTAGATGTCGTGTCGTATTGGCTATATTCATTGTTTCCTACATGAGTGAAAGCTTCGTGTAAGGATGAGCTTTCCACTAAGAAAGCCTCTGGTGAGAACAGAGATTGTGATTTACCTGCAGGAGCACATGGGATCTTTATCAAGCGGATTCATCCGAAGGCTCGTGATACAACACAATGATGATGGTTGATGGAAACAATGGAGCACTAACAGTTATGCTGTAATAACATTTGGTTAATAATATGAACATGATGCCAAATGAAAGCACGAGTTACGAATATGATGTACATTCATTCATTCATAAGTGACCCCAATATGCACATAATTCTATTTTCATGTTTGGGTTTTCTATGTATTATATAACAAATATATATATTTTTATGATAACCACTCTTCAAAAAGAAAAAAAAAATGTTAGTCAAGAAAATAATGAAAAATATAAGTAAATATCAGTTCAGAGAGCGTTCACCCGAAATCACAGAGAACAGGAAACATGGCACTCTAGCCAGTTGGAACATCCCACGTCATCACTAAAACTCACTATAAATAGGGCAAGATTGTTCTTTCTCTCTCTCTCTCTCTGTCTCTGTCACACACACACACACACACACGCACACACACACGAGGCAGGCAAGATCCTCCTGGCCGAATCGCGGGCGTTCTACCCGGCATCGGCCGCCGATCGAAACTTCGGAAACGCTAGCACGGCAAGAGCTCTAATCGCGATTTCAGTTTTTCGACATTGCACGGTTCCTTTTCTTCTCTTTCCCATCATATGCGTCTGATTTTGGGTTATCGTCTTGTGATTTCAATTTTGGTTTCGGTAAGATTTTAGTACAGACAGTGGGCTTTTTTCTTGTGGTTCTTGAACCGGACGTAACTAATTTGCTTCTCTTCTTGGAGAAGAGATTTATTTTTCGTTAAAGATCCTTGAATCGGGATTGGCTTCTCTTTCTCGGAGACATCACTTTATTTCTTTAAGGTTCTCTAATCGGGATTTTCTTCGCTTCTAGGAGAAATCACTTTATTTCTGTATAGTTCTTGAACCGGGCGTAATTTGCTTCTCTTCTTGGAGAAATAACCTTTTTCGCTGCGGCTCTTGAATCGGGCGTAATCAGATTCTGTTCTAGGATAAATCACTTTCAACTCTGTACAGTTCTTGATTCGGGCGCCTAATTTGCTTCACTACTTGGGGAAAGCACTTTTTTCCTAGTGGTTCTCGAATCGGCCGTGATCTGATTCTCTGCTGTGAGGAATCACTTTATATCTGCACAGTTGTTGATTCGGGCGTAATTTGCTTCACTTCTTGGAGAAATCACTTTATTTCTGTACAGTTGTTGAATCGGGCACAGTTTACTTTTCTTCAAGAAATCAATTTCTTGCTATATGGTTCTCTTTTCTGGTAGACGTCTCTTTATTTCTGCATGGTTCGTAAATCAGCTATAGCAATCATATACACAACACTTTAGCAATTGTTTGAGCTTTAGCAATATATTAGTAACATATATTAAGATAACACCATTTGTGTGATACTTATGTCTCTTGGAATCTTTGTGCATCCGGCACCTCCTTGTTCTGATAAATTTGTATAATGGATGCAAGATGGTTCCACCAACTTTTCCGGAGCTTTTTCCATCAAGATACCTCATAAAATCCATCCTATTCACAGAAAACACACAAAAAAAAGTATTTAGCCTTCCTATATACAAAACCAAGATTTGCTTGAGTTGATAGATAACTCAGAGAGATGACAGAAAACTCAACTACATACAGATTCCAAGCCTAAATACAAAACTATTTAGGTGAGAGACACATGCACTTAGGTAAAATGCAAAGCAAAATGTAAATCATACAACAAAAAGCAACGAACACAAGTGAGGCCATCAATTGTCAATCACACGACAAAAAAGCAAAATCACCAACCACTTGATGCCATCCAACATCTTAAGTTAAAAATTTCTTAATCATGCAATCAACAGGAAAACCAAAACTACAACCAACTGAAAAAGAAAAACAAAACAAAAATTGAGAAATTGAGCTAATAAATATCCACTTACTAATTTATCCACTAATAGGAAGCATATTTTCAAGAGATTTTTTTTTTGTTATAATGCATGATTAAGAATTCATGATGCTGCTGACAAATAAATCATAATTTTATTATTTAATTCAAATTTACAACTTTGTTTACACATAAGTTTCAAACATTTTGACCTTTTAAACCTCCAATAAATCCAGATAATCAGTGGTAATCAGAATGATAGAATTCTAAAAACTACTACTTTTTAAATTTTTTGAACACACAGCTTCCATAAGGCTGTTAAAATTATGACAGCATTGTCCAAAAAGAAACATTGTCCGCTAATTCGTCTAGGATATTAGACCAATTGAACATCCCACTTTATTCACAAATGCGTACATGTATGAAGGCAATCAGCTACTTAAATTGAGGGGATGACAGTAACCTTTGCGAGTGTGCAAACCATTGGGTTTGCAGTTCTTTAATCTCAGGGCCTTCTTTTTGAAGATAACATACTCAGTGATGAAGTTCGCTTTCTTAGCATTGCCCTCGCCAATCCTACTATAATCCAAGAGCCATTTTCTTTATTTTTCTTGTTTTATCCTTCAACCAACCTTGGGTTGAGTTAGACAGAGACATCCTTGGGTTATCAGTCAAAGGAAAAGGATGGTCACTTGGTGACCCCAGCATTCATAAAACGTAAAAAGCATAGGGTTAAGTTAGACAGAGACATCCTCGGGCTATCAAATAAGTTTGGCCTCTGCATAAGGAAGATTAATTGTGGCAACATATATACTCTTTTCTCAATGGTGATAAACATCCTGCTGCTCAACCTTGGTATCATAAAGACAAACTTTATCACTTCAACAATGATAGTGGAGCTGCTATCCTTATCTCTTACTGCAATCAATCTCAGACCCTTTTCTGTTCCATAAGAAACCACCCAAAATATATTTACTTTATGACAAGAACACAGAAATACACCATTCAACTTTTCATGAATACTAAGCACCATATATGTGAAAAACATTAAGCTTCTGATTTATGAAGGTTTTAAAGAGGTAACTCTTCATTTAATCTTGATTCCTCAATCTTCTATGTTATAGCTTAACTTTTCTTACAGATTATACTAACTCAGATTTTATTCTGATGCATCATTTTCAAGTAATAATTTCCAAAGTTTTTCTGATATATCTGCATGAGTAGTTAAAAGAATTTCCTAAGATTAAGCAAAGAAGACACCCTCTCTGCACCTAGAAGATCTCATATGTCTTTGCTTAAATCTGGGAGTCAAATCTCCAATTACATACGTTAAGTATTTAACCTATGAACGATATACATATACATAGTCTTTATGTCAGCTAGAGATATAGCAAACTAATGTACAAGTCCAATAAAATGAAGAATGCAGACAGAACGAACTTTGTGAGAAAATGTGTGAGACAGAAAGAAGGATAATAACCAACTCAACTAATTGCCATAAGCCCAACAATGATCTTAAGTGAGTATCCATCTTTCAGTTGACCATATTCTTTTTCTATAGAATTATGTAAGTATACTAGATATTTGATATCATTCTAATTACCAGAATTCTCAATTGGATCCCTGCAAACCAGATTTCTAATTATGGAAGAGAAGAATTGGAACATAAGTTTGGTTATTTCAGGACTATAATTAGCTAGAGGAAACATTAAGCTACAAAATATAATTATATAAAGTGATAATGAGCATAGCAGTAAAATTCTCAACTAGAATGACACTAAAGATCCAAAAATTCCTTACTGTACATTATGTATCCTTTTAATCCAGAAACAGCTAGACACTTTTTATTTTACATGTTAAATGTAAAACAGCAAAGAATTCAACATCTATATGCGTTAAGCAAAGACAGAAAAAGGAATAACAAACAGTATATCTTATCATCAACAATAACCATCACTAAGAAAAACCAAGTAATATTTGGCCTAATGCATTAAGGTCTCAAATATCTAACTCTATGCATGTAATACATAAAAAGTCTATTTTCTTAACAAAATTTGTTTTTATCATGTACCTTATTCGTTTCTTGTTCATCACCTTAAACAAAAATACAACTGGACAGTCATTTCTCGAGTGTCTAGCAGTTTCTCATCTAGGTTCATAATGTAAAGAATATTACAAGAATTTTTTTTAAAAAAAGTAATTGGCTGCACCTAGAAATCTATACTTCCAAACATCTTCAACCTAATTATAATCCAAAACATCTTTGGCTCACTAAATCAAGCTTTAAAAAGTACAGAGGCACCAATGTCTTTTGGAGCTTGGCAGACTAGCAAGAGCTGCACCTTCAAGAAATAAGTAGAGTCCCCTTGTGAAGTGCCATGTCACACATTTGCCTAGGCTAGAAGCATAGCGCATCACCCACCCAACTGTTAAGCTTTGGGTGAGTACTGAGTATACGCTCAGCATGACTGAACTCAAATCCCACTAAACTTCACCTCGTATTCGAGGAAAGAATTGCCTACGTCTTATGATAAAGAAGAACAAATAGTTGCATTCAATGATTTTATATAAAGGGCGACAAGTAAGTTCTTCTGCAACAAAAAAGAAAAGAACAGTAAAACAAGAATAAACTTGAAGTTGAATAGACACTCAAAACAGAGACAGACTGGCGATTGATCTCCAGCTCATTATATTTTCCTTCAAGAAGAGAACCGAAAGATCATTTCTCCAATGGTTACAGACCACATTAAACGTGGAGAAAAGCAAGCATTAAGAGATCAAATGGATCAAATGCTCATCATCTTTTCCTTTGAGAAAAGAACTGCAAGATCCTTTCTCTACTTATTACAATCACATTGTACTTTAAGAAGCGGTGATAGTGAGGAAACAAACATAAGATTGACGCAAAGCAAGCATGAAAAGGTCAAATGGAACAGAAAAGAAACCGAAGAATGATCTACAAAATCGAATACCCATCATCATCTCCTTCGAGGCGAGAAGCGGTGCCAATAAGGAAACAAGCATAAGATTTGAACCAAAGCAAGCATCAGCAGATCGAATGGAATGGAACAATAAAGAAACCGAAGATTGATCTCGAAAATTGAATACCCATCATCACTTCCTTAATGAAGAGAACCGCAGGATCCTTCTCTACTTGTTACAGGTCGCATTAAACTTCAAGAAACGGTGACAACAAAGTTACAAACACGAGACAGAAGCAAACCAAGCATCAAAAGATCAAATGGAACAACAAATACAGCAAAGAATGATGTAGGAAATCGAACACCCAACGTCGTTTTGTTTAAGAAGAGAACGATGCAAGATCCCATCTCTACTTGTTACAGATCACATTTTGTTTCAAGATACGGTGACAAAGCATAAGATTAAAGCAAAGCTAGCATCAAGAGGTCAAAAGGAGGCACAAGAAAGCGCAAAACGATATACAAAATCGAACACCCATCCTTCAGGTAGAGAACCGCAAAACCCCTTCTCGACTTGTTACATGTCGCATTAAACTCCAAGAAATAGTGATGATAAGGGAACAAACATCGGATCGAAGCAAAGCAAGAATCAAGAAATCAAATGCGAAATCGAGATCGTCGTGGAACCAACACCACCTTGAGAATCGCGCGACGTTAGGGGTAGGGTCTCGCCCCTTCCAAAGCTTCAGCTTCCGTTCCACAGCTTCACCGTGAGAACCTCGACCACCGCGCCTACTTTTATAGACGCACACAAAAAAAGGTACACGTGGCACACCGTTAGTCGATTTCCATCGAAGCATTCACCGGACTTGTTATCTCTTAAACTCATTCCTGGAGCGGATCCTTTGCGTGCTGGTGTGATGTTTAATAACGTGCAATACGATAATAATCTCATTACAACAATTATAGTGATAGTAATAATAAAAGTTACATAATCGATCTTATTCTCTAAAGAAAAGTATTCGCAAATTGATAATGTACAAATTCTCTTGAAATTACTGGTACTTTGTATCACCCTAAAACATAATAAATGCACATGAGATGATGGCCCTAAAATTCTTTTTTTGCCCCTCGTTGATGGTCCAGCAATTTTCTCTTGCACAGCAGACTTCAGCCAACGACAACACTCGTTCCCCGCCTTCGGAGGCTGTTGACCAGAGCAACAATGGAGAATCTGAACGTAGATATACAAGACACCCATGAAGCATAAGATCCTCCAGAAAGATGCGTCCATCAACATTACCAGCAGGGAGAGAGCATTAAACATCATAGGCCTCCTCAGGTGCCACGGCCACGAGCAGCTTCTGTTACATGGATGTTTTGTGCAGGGTAACATCACTGTTCGAATCGATATATAACATTGTTTAACTTCGATCACTCAAAGATCATTCACAGAATCCGCTGCTTTTCCGAGTGACCATCTGTAGTTTCAAACTTCAATCAGCTGAAACAACTTTCTAGTCTTCGACTGGCCATCAAAGCAGTGGATGAATGAATTGCTTTACCGAAACGAATGAGTTAAAAGAACAATAGATCTCTGTTGTGGATTGGTGACTCCGCGTATTTGATTCTTCATGAAATTAAAGAATTTGCTACTGATTATGTGACGCCTCTGTAGCAGAAATAAGAGAATACGTTACAGGTACAGACAACAGAATAAAAAGAATAAGAGAATAAACCATAGCGAAGGCCTCATTTTTGCTAAAGAATAACTACGTGGGGAAGAAAATGAAATAAAAAGCAAAAGACCAAAAAAACAAACCTTTTCAAATATCCGATTGATGACTCCAATCAGACTGGCTATATCCAGAACTAAAGACATGGCTCCCGAATGCCATCCGCTGCAACAGTCTGATCTGTGCTGTTTCTGCCACATTGAAGATTTCACTTTGTCCGGGTTTGACACCATTGTTTAGATCAACATCGGTTAGGATATCGAGAACCCTTACTACCTGAACGAAAATATTTCATAGAACAAGCAACACGATGCAAGTAGATGAGATTCCCCTCACATTTAGCATAGTCATCATTTTATGCTGAATTATTACCTTTCCCATCTGAGGCCTCATTGCTGCTGAATGACGAATACATGCTGCTGCTGCTTCGATCATTCGAAACATCTCAGTTTCATTGTAGTTCTTTTCGAGCCTTGGATCTGGTAATTCTCCAAAATCTCTAGTTTCAAGAGCATGGGACAGCCGTGGTCGTGCCTACAAAATCACATCGACATAAACTAAATAAATTTCTGCAGGAGACAAAGGAACCTTAGTTATGCCAGATACTCTAGATAACCACACAATGAGAAAGCAGACGCAATCTGGTTATCGACAAGTCTGCCCAAGGGAACTCGATCAGGGAATATATGACTCTATTTGTTATTAATACTCCATACGGTCAACTAAATTAAGAAAACCAGCCTAGCCTCCACTTATTCAGCTTTCGTATCTCAGACTCCAACATGATTTGTTTGGCATCACTTAATGCTTGGTGGCAAATTGGCAATAGATGCATGGTGACAGATTAGGCACATAATTCACATTGTGCACAAATTTTGAAGTTGGATGTTCTGCCTTCTGGGCACCGCTTAAAGGTTGAACATTAATGGAAACCAATGGAAAAAAGCTGCCCAAGAGCTCTCCAAATAAAAGCTCTGTAGCTTAACATGAACTTGCGCTCGTACCAAGAAGTGCAAATTGGTAGCTTAAGTTTTATGGTTGTGCATCAACAACAACAACAAATACTTAATTGAAGGAAAGAAAAGGTAAAAGCAGCATCAGTGCAATTCTTCGGGAAGGAATCCAGTTGCTAGGTACTTTAAAGTCTCAAGCATGGATGTCCAATGAACTGTGCATTTATGCCAAGAGAAACAGCAAACTATGACAATAACCAATTAGTAGTATACTTAATTCAAACAAACTCTAGCCTAGTCCAATTTGAAGAACCCACAGATGAACTTCATTTGGATGCACGATTTAGTTCAATAACTAGAAGATGAGGCAAGTTGGAGAAGATTTAAAGAAGACAAATAGTTTAATCAAATATCATTGTCAAGTCTTTTGGGGATTAAGTTCCAGACCAAAACTGACTCCATTTACAGGTAGCCCTCCCACTCAAAAGGCTTGAACATCCTTGTCAAAGCCCAACATAACCAAGATCAGACTACTGATCAAAATGCTTAAGCTGAAGTTAATAGTAGTACACTCATCAGACCCTTATAAGCCAATCTTAATCTTGCTCACTTTCGATGTAGGATTAATCAGGAGTGTTACAAAATACATCTCAAAAATGAACATTGAAAATGATAGTAATATTATATGGGCACTGATATAAGAATCTGATGTGTATCCAAGTATCCAATTTAACAAGCAACATTCACAGTCCAACCCTATTTTCTCAAGCTAAGCTACTTAGCTGAAATATATAAGCCCTTCAAGGTTACAAGTGGCAGACCACCAGAATGAGCGTTGTTACCCGACAAAAACCTTGTTCACAATGAACCTCTAAAAGGTAACTTTTATGGGGGAATTGAAGAAAATCTTCATATATATGCCACTATAAAGGACTGGAAGGGCAAGAGAAAGAAAAAACAAAAACGGAGAAAAATGCTAGTAAAGCAAAAGTTTGTAATGGGGAAAGAGGAATAGACACCATAACAACATTAAAGCCAAACATCTTTAAGGCCATACGAAGATATCTAACACAACAACAAAGGAGGAAAGAAAGTCTAGTAAAAAAGAACCTCATTCTACAAACAAAAGTTCGATCCATCAATTTATCAAGCCCTCTGGAATTTTCTATCAGAGCATCAAGTAGCAATTGGCTAATAATATTCTACGAAAAAATCTCCAGGAAAGCATTAGATTTGGTTTTATCGTTCAAACACCATTTGACACAAAGAACATTCTCTCTTAAGTTCATTAGATTTTGGTTCTGTTTACCACAAGAAGATCATGTGGCTCGTCTTAATTTGGGGTATTTCCCAGACAGATTGACCAATTTAAATGGGGTAAAATGAAGTGGGATATAAGAGGAAAGTTATTTGAAGCGTTACAGAAAACATTTGTTCGATCATCAAGGTAAGCTGTCTCCTTTCTTTGATGCAAGCCCTAGACATGATAAGTTTCAAGACCAACTACAGATTTTCTTCAGTTGCATCATAATTTTGACTTGCCCATTCATTATCAAGTGCTACAGCACCTGAAAATTGAATGTGCTACTGAGTTTTCTATATCTGATATGCATTTAGTTTTGAGTTCAACAATTTTCTGAAGAGACAAATTGAGAAAGAAATTTCAGAGCTTACCCACTCAACAAGGCTCTCATCACCCATAGGCTGGGTGTCATCAACAGGCTTTCGTCCTGTAATGAGTTCCAAAAGCACAACCCCGAAGGAGTAAACATCAGATCGCTCAGTTAACTTGCCACTCGATGCATATTCTGGAGCCAAATATCTACATGGAAAAACAATCACATAATTTTTAATATCAAAGAACCATGGAATCACGGTTATCAAGTAATTGGTTTACCCACCCAAAGGTCCCTATTACGCGTGTAGAGACATGCGTACAAGCATCCATAGCTAACTTTGCAAGCCCAAAATCAGAAACCTACTCGACATACACAAATTATTAACAAGACGGAATTTATGATAAGGAAGTGCCTCAGAAACTTTGTCCACAGAGGTATTAATGGAGGATAACCTGGGCCTCGAAGTTGTTATCCAATAGAATGTTTGAGGACTTTATATCTCTATGAATGATCCTTGGATGGCCTGGTCAAAATCACCAAACCAAATTATAAGTAATAAATAGAAGTTACAGAAAACTGTTGCTAGTAATACTAAGTTCATATATTACAATCCTCATGCAGGTAAGCTATGCCACGAGCTGCACCAGCTGCAACCTTAACCCTTGTTGGCCAATCGATAACTGGCTTTCCTGTACCTGAAAAAGATTTGCACAGAAATGGTGCCACATGTAACTAACAAATTTACGTACAGGATTCCAAATATTACAAGTTATCTTTTATAAATCCAACGAACTGATAAGTTAATCATACCATGAAGATGAGAGTGAAGTGTATCATTGGGCACAAAATCATAAACAAGCAATCTTTGGTTCTCCGATATGCAATACCCTACAAGCGAAACCAAGTGGCGATGGTGTATGCGACTGATAATCTCAACCTCGGCTTTAAACTCCCGTTCACCCTGTCCACTGCCAACCTTTAATTGCTTCACAGCAACTTCTCTTCCATCAGAAAAGCATCCTTTATAAACACAACCAAAACCACCTTCACCTAAAATATTTTGGGGTGAGAAACCGTTTGTTATTTCATATAACTCTTCATAAGAAAAGCACGACTGAGCATTGACTATTCCAGCATCGGACGCGACACTTGCAGACTTGTGGTGATATACAAGAGGAGCTGATGGAGACCTTGGGTGGGGTGATTCTGGTAAGAAAAAGAACATGTATTTAGACCAGTCGAATAATCAAAATTTGATAACATGGGAGGTGTCATGTTGAGATATTTCAAAGTTTCTTGGATCAGTATTGTCAAGATTTTTGGGTGTCTCAATGACAAAGAAGCTGGTAAGACCATAACCAATGAAAATACTTGTCGAGATGTTAGAGCATGACCTGATATCATAGAAGATGAGCGTGGTGAAGGCATGACAAACCCTGGAACATATCCAGCAACAGGTTTCCTGCGCTTCCTCACATACCACACAATCCCTAGAAAACAAAATATAACGAATACAACCACCAATCCAACAGCTACAGCAGTGCCTGTCTTCGTACCACCACCTCCTGGAGAGTTGTCACTCACCACATCTGAACCAGGAGTGGACTTGTTGGAACTTGGGCTAATTGGATTTGGCGAATTGTCAGATGGAACGGTGGGAGAGTGTAAGGGAGGAGAGGCTTGAACTGGGGAAGGAACTGTACCAGCGGAAGAATTGCTAGGAGGAGCGGCAGGGGGTGAACGAGCTGGAGTCGATGGGCTTTTAGGTGCTGGTGCCGAAGGAATAGGAGGGCTGGGAGACCTCGGTGGAAGTGGAGGAGAAGGCGGAGCATTTGGTGGTTCAACAGAAGGCGGTGGGGGAGTTCTGGTAGGTGGTCCGGCCGAAGGTGGAGGTGGTGGAGAGCCAGACAACGGCGGAGGTGCATTGGGAGTTTGAGGAGGTGAGGATGCCGAAGAAGGCGGGGGAGGAGAAGCTGCGATAGGTGGCGGAGGAGAAACCTCGGTTGGTGGCGGGGGAGAGACTGCAGTGGGTGGCAGAGGAGAAACCTCGGTAGGTGGCGGGGGAGAGGCAGCAACCGATGGCGGTGGAGAGCCTGTAATAGGTGGCGGGGGAGAAGCTGTAACGACAGGGGGTGTAGGAAAGGCAACAGGAGGTGGGGGAGAAGCAGAAGGTGGTGGAGACGACGACGGCGGAGAAGCAGTAGCAGGCGGAGGGAAACTGGCAGCTGGAGGGGGTGGTGACGGTGGTGGCGGAGGCTCTGGCGATGACGCTGGAGGAGTAGGGGGGGGAGCAACGGGATCAGGGAGCGGAGAAGGTGGTGGTGAGTCAGATGTGGAAGGAGGTGAAAAGGAAGCAGGAGGAGGCGAAACAGTAGAAGAAGGCGGAGTCGCCGAAACAGAAGGTGGAGGGGAAGAGGACATGTTCACTAATACTGTCAATTCCTTTCTCCCTTCCACCTATAAATATATCAAATGAAAAGAAAATATGGAGAACTCAGATCACCATGAATCCATGAGACTCAAGAAAAGATTCCAAAAAAAGCTTCTTCCTTTGGCAACAAGAGATCTCAGAATCAGCAAAACCTCAGATCCTAGTAATCTCTAGTACAAAACTGGAACCTGCAATTATCCCTCGCTTTAGACATAGAGAGACATCGGCGGAGGTAGCGATCAAAAGTCTGTTCTCTGTGACGCCAGAAATCCTTCTTCTCTGTAAAGAAATCAGCCAACAAAAACTACACAGCTTCTAAACCGAGAAATCGAAATGAGAAAATTCCATATCTACTCGTTTCCGACAAATCTCTGAAGTCTCTCCTCAAACAAACCCAACGACACACCACCGCTCGTAACGCAAAGAAGGAAATACTTCACCCAAGAATGTGACCTAGCTTCGCAAGATTCCACCTTTATGGCAAAAAAGCACCACTGAAGGTCCGAACTGCGCCGCAAATATTACTCCGATGAATGAAATGGTCATTCAAAATCGCAACCTCCCTCGACATCCCACCTTACCCGAGATTGCGCCAAAAAACAAAAGGAAAAAGGCCAAAACCAAGAAGAACACGGATCACAAAATCCTAAACCGAGCCCCTAAACCTGCCAGCCAAATTGCAGCGCGTTCCCAGCAACGTTGAACATAAAATAACTCAAATATTCCCAGCTGCAGAGCACACACCTCGCAAAACACACCCGCTCCTCCACCCTTTATCTGCAACGAAAACGTGACGATGACTCGAGTGACCTTCTTGGGTGGGAATGGAGAGAGAAAGCCAGTGAGGTAGCCGAGTTGGCACAAGAGTAAAAATGTGAAGAATCAAGCTAATCATCTCCCTGCAACGACAAATCTACCAATTAAAATTCTATATTGTTTTTTCTTGTCCCATACACCATCTGCGAGCCTATGTTCAGAATTCCCACCTTTCTTCCACCGTAAACATTGAGCTGTAAAATTCGAAGATGCTGAGCGACCGGGATTCAACCTCTGCGTTGAGACTGGCTTTGACGTGTCAATGGTTGGCTATCACGACACTAAGAGCGTCAGTGACTGACTATTTGCGTAGTATCTAACCATCTCCTCGTTGACTCGTCAACACAGTGGACCTTAGAATTAATGCGAGTATTATAATCACCGCCGGGAGAGTGGACCCATCGAGAGAAATAGATTTTGGCTTCGTAAGTCATACGATGACCGTTCACGTTAGCAACTCTGGCGATAAGATTATTAGTATAGGAGATGTGTTCTATATATGAATCACGAATGCACCAATCAATGAAGTAGGATATATACCGACTGATCATTTCATTCAACTGACAACTCGATTCGGTTTAAAATTAAATAGGAGAAACAGAATCATGGATGACTTTGACTTGGGATGTCAGCACTGGCAACCGACACCTTAAGCTGTAACCCGCACCTTCTCCTGAGTTGCAATTAGGTCTGACCCCCACCACGGGGACTGCAGAAGCTCGAGCTGCCGCCCAACCATGTACATGAATGAACCCAAAATGATCCACGAGTGCTCACTTCCTTTCGACCTGAACACGAGTGATCCACGACTCGGGGAAACAGTTATTAGAACCACATGGCTATCTATCGGTAAACCATTATGTCATGATCGAGAAGTCAACATAGTTTGATCCAGTCCCCGATGCGTAGAGTCATCCACGTGGATGCTCGAGTGGTGAGAGCGAGCATCGAGTTGGATTGGGTTTAAGCCTCATCTCCTGAGTGTGGTTTTCTCTCTTGACGAGCGGCGTGCTTCTCCGTCGCTAGGCTTCTGCACATAGGTCGAGGTCAGGAGGAGAATTTTCTAACTTGACCCATCCGAAGCTTAAGTTAAAGTTAATGTTGAGTAGAATAAGAGTGAGTTAAATATGTCTAAAGAATCCCTTCCACCTCATTAGTCAGAGGACTAGCTCTTCTATCTAGGGTGGTCGGTCGTACTCAATCATTTAATGACTGTTGATTCTCCGAGAGGAAGGATTATACTTTGCGGATGAGCACCGATCGACCCTTATGGGTTAGCACAGTGCTGCATCGTCCTAAATTTTACGGAACGGTTCTAGGGTGTCTGACGCCGACCTTGTAAGTTTGTTTGTTTTTAGAGATAATGTCGAAAATAATATGCATGGCAAAATGTTCCAATAGCTTCTTCAAGCTGGACTCGGTAGTGGGCCGAGAGAGAGAGAGAGAGAGAGAGAGCGCAGGAAAATTATATGGCCCGACCGAACAACGCCTACGTGCATGTCAGATTGTGGTTTCTTCCAAAACCGGAGAGAGAGAGAGAGAGAGAGGCTGCAGTGAGTACGTATTTAGTACTGAAACCCTGCACTCTGTGTTTCTAAAAGTGGGCGAGAGAACGGATCTGGTCATGGGAAGGTAACCTGCGGATCCCCGACAAAGAAGGGACGCTCTAACCAAATGTTGCGACGCGTCGAGTGCCCCTCCAATCGGCGCGCCTGAACCGGTCAATGCTGTGCTCATTTCACCTCCCCTTTTAATCGATGATCCACCGATTACACCAATTATCTATCTGTCGACGGGATCAATGCAAATAAATACATACATGCAACTCAATCCCACCTAATTATGACTAAACATAAAAGGCAAATAAAATGACGTGTCCCAAAACAATGAGAAACAAAAGCAATTGGCCCCATGATGGGTTAACCCTCTCACCCACCTTCGTCCGCCTCCAATTACGGGGAAGGTGAGATTGACGGTAAACCACGTGAAGGGCTGCCAAAAAACATATCGCTCGCTCTTGACAGCACTGCAAGCCACAGCGCATGGTCCGTTGAGACCGCCAAGCGGATCAGAAGAAGATGGTTAATTCGTAAATAATGAGAACGTCGGGGTGCTTCGTGTGCTCCATCCGGCAGCGGGGTCTACCCCGAAGCCCGAGATGGCTATAAGACGCCCCTCCATGCACGCTCGACAACTGAATGAACCAAGGAGAGATATCTTTAGAGAGAGAGAGAGAGAGAGAGGGAAGGAGGAGGAGGAAGTACTGACGGTGGAAACGACGCTCCGCTAGCAACTTCCTATCCGAGATCACCTCGTTTCTGAGCCCGAGTTAGCCAGTCGCCGCGATGGTGATGCTGAGCCAGGACGCAGTCCGTAATGTCATTGGTCTCATCGGTATAAGCTTCCTTCTCCACTATCCCTCTCACCCGAGTCTTCGTTTTCTCAGATAATCCATTTTCCCTTAATTTTATTGACCAAAACACGAATTCGTAAAACGTAAATTGGAAGGAGGAAAAACAAAAGAAACTCGTTCTCAGTCAGATCTCAACTCTCACCGACAAATGCATCCATCGATGTGTATGTAACTTTATTTCCCGTTTCGATTGCAGGCAATGTCATCTCCTTTGGTCTGTTCCTATCACCCGTGTAAGCTTCGATGACTATCTCAAATCTTTGATTCGTTTTCTTCTTGGGGTGGATGGGTTTGAATCCGGAAAGATCTATCTGATCACGGCCGGTTGGGTTATGGCACTGCAATGTCTACAGGCCGACCTTTGTACAAATAATCAAGAAAAAGGCGGTGGAGCAATTCTCCCCAATCCCTTACCTCGCAACTCTCCTCAACTGCATGATGTGGTTTTTGTACGGGCTCCCCATCGTCCACCCCCACAGCATCCTCGTCGTCACCATCAACGGCATTGGTCTCGTGATCGAATCCGCCTACCTCTCCATCTTCTTCATTTATGCCACCCGAGAAGGCCGCGTACGCCTAACACGATCGCCTTTCTCTCTCTAATTTTCTACTGTACCGTCTTTAAAAAGGCATGGCACTGAGGAAGAACGCATATCAGCTGAAGGTGCTCAAGATATTGGCGGGAGAGCTGGCGTTCATGGCGGTGGTGGTGGTGGCGGTGCTCTTGGCCGCGCACACGCACGAGAAGAGGTCGCTCATCGTGGGGATCCTCTGCATCATCTTCGGCACCTGCATGTATGCCTCGCCGCTTGCGGTCATGGTAAGACCACACTGGAAGCACTGCAAAGTTCATGCTTCTGTGATAGCTGCTTTGCGTTTAATAGCCTATCCTAGAATATGTCATGGACAAGGCACTCTGACCATGCAGGCATGTGCCATCGACGAACAGGGAAAGTGCATTTATGAACACATATGATATCTTTAGGAGTCGATGGACAATTTGTGATGCATGCATTTATGATATCTTGAATGCATTGTGGCAGAAACTGGTGATCCAGACAAGGAGCGTCGAGTACATGCCCTTCACTCTCTCTCTTGCTAGCTTCCTTAACGGCGTTTGCTGGACGACCTACTCCTGCCTCCCCTTCGACATCAACCTATTCGTAAGAGCTCGCTAACGTGATGTGATGTGATTTGATCAGGCGTAATGTTCAGACTCGGTGCAAGTTGAACTATTGATATGTTGTGCTCGTGCTGCAGATTCCCAATGGGTTGGGTGCCCTCTTCGGCTTCTTGCAACTGATACTCTATGCTTGTTACTTCAAAGCCACACCGAAGAAGGATGCCAAGGCCGAGGTGGAGCTGCACAGTGCACGTGATGTTTAACTCTCACCGTGGTCGTACGAGGCGATCTCTGTCGACGCCTTCGATGTTTTATTTGCCGTCATCTTTGTCTTCTCATGTGGGTCGGAACGGTGTTTGATGCAATGAAGTATATCCTTTATTACGTTCGATCTTTCTTTTGACCCAATAACGTCGATCATAACGTTATTTTTACCAAATAAAAGAAAAGGCATCCGAAATAATGACAACCAAAATTATAGGAGGACGAATCCAACTTGTATAATCCAGTTAGATTAGCCGAATGAAGTTGGGAGACAACACCCTCGAGAGAATATAAGCAGAGAAAAAGAGAAGTTACAAAGCTTGCCAACCGTAACGGAAATGTTGGCTTGTCTATCATACTACCGACTCGTACTCGGTGGAGATCCACACGGATATGGGTTGCCATCATAGAACACTATGGTAAAGAACTTGTTCTTCTTCGTCACTGAAGTAATGTTTGCTGTGAGGATGCCTCAGTTGAACTGCCATCAAGACACTCGAAGCTATTTTGTTTGTAAGACATTAAAATGGAAGACTGTTTCTAATTTATAACCAAATCCCAAGAGAAGGATTATACTGAGAAGAACCATACGATTGGAAGCGATCGCAACACGAATAACACGCATTGCGAGCTCTTCTCGCATGGCCCATTCTTTTCTCTAGTAGTTTGCATTCTCATGTCCTCCATCAAAGCTGCGAGGTGTTTCGGATGAAAACACAGCGACACCACTTCCTCCACCAATCTTTTATTCTGTTCCTGGATCCTGATGAGTGAGCTCTCGCTTTTCTCGAAGCTGTAAAATGCCTAACTGCAATTTAGCAACTTTGACTTCACTTGGGTAAATGTTCTGTGGGATCATAGAATTACATAAACTCACCATCCAAGAGTGCCCAAATCTCACTGGAAGATAACATTGATATTTATTCTTCTGTATTTAACATACGAGAAGTCTAGGCATAGACATTATTAGAACAGAACCGAATTAGACAGCCGGTAACAGCTTAGAATGGACTGACCTTTATCAACAAAAACAGAGTTCAAATTGAGGTGTAATTAGCATCTGTCGGTTGACAAAGACTTCCACAGGATAGCAAGGTTGAAGCCTGCAAGCAGCTTGGTCATGATTGCACCATGTTGTCCTAAAATGGCTTTATCCTAGCTGCCCCGCTTGGAGAATAAAAACACCACTTGCCAACAGCCTAAAACAAACAAACAACCATATTTATCTTGATTTGGTCAGCTTGCAGGGTTTTCCGTAGCGTCGCTGCAATGCCTGCTCACTATTCGACGACATTCACCAGCTCATATTCCACCAAAGACAAGTTATTATCCTCTTTCACAGTGAAATCGGCTGGATCAGTCGCTTCAACACGGCCCCATTTGTCCACTGCCAGTCTCATGGATCCCTTAAACATATCGATCTTTGCATTCCGGAGGATCAAGGTGGTCCCTGGCTTCATCAAGTCCACTGAAAATAAATCATGCCCTTACAAGTTACAGAAGTGACAGGAGGCATATAACTGAGAAGGATCAGCAAATATAACTGACCAAATAATCCTTAATTTAATTCACAGTTTAATGAACGCCAAAAGTCTAAAGATTGCAGCAAGCTCATGTGAAGGGAGGGGAAGACTCACTAAACAACCTACTTTCGCCACAATCGAGCTCATAAAATAAAGTAATGAAACATATAGAGTTCGTTAATAATTCACAGATGATCCCATTGTGTAATGACCATAGTTAATTAAAAGAATTACTCATGCAGGTTACCGGACAAGCATTTGCAAGCCCTGAAGCAAGATCCATGGAACTAAAATCAATAAGTGAAGCACTGGAAGTAAAGAAACTGTGAAACTGGGACCTCCAAGGATATCTCCACATTTAAGAGCAAACGGACAAAAAAGGAAAAAAGAAACAAGACAAGTGAAGCAGTGCACAATATTTAGAGGTGCAAATCTTTCAGTTCAGTATTGCACCTCTTTTTCCTTAATTGAGATATTTTTCTCCTGTTATGGTGTTTTTACATATTAGTTCAAGAGAAGATTCTTGTAAACCAGAGGAAAACACCGTAAAAACAGAAGTATATGTTGATAATGATGCCCAAAGCAAACTTCCGATATAAGTTTATCAAACTTTATGTCTCAGACTGTTCATTTGTTTTAGTATTAAGGCTGAAATCTACAAAGCGATACAGTTTTTGAGAAAACCTCATGTCAGAAGAAGCGTCAAAGGTAGGAGAGAAGTTGTCAACTGAAAGCACTTTTCATAACACTAGAAACAATAAGAAGAAGAAAAATTAAAACAATCATGATCGTCATTACAAAACAATTGTAAATTGGGGTAGAACAACCATCTTTGACGGTCACTACAAATGAAATGCTGTCTTTTCTCAGAAAAGATTTGGTGACATTTTCTATACATGTATCATCATCTTGATTACTCATATATTTAATGTCTAAAAGGTCTTGCATGAGTACTGAAGAGTACATCTAATCCAAAAAAAAAGAGGCTCAATAGCAAATCTATAATAAAGTTGTTCCAACTGAAAGAAAATAAGTTCTTTATGTGGAGATGCATTTTAAAGAGCACATATAAATTCTAATGGAAACTGGACCCAGATAATACAGGTGTTTCAAGTACGATCCCATAAATCCTATCGGGGGAAACTACAATGGATTAAATAAAGATAGCAGTCAATAGAGTTAATTGTTATAGGTATGTTTACCCTGCTCGTTCCTAGCAGTGAAGACAATCATTCCAGTTTCATCACCAACCAAGCATTCTGCAATACGCATTTGCCGAACTTGAGGTCCGGCTGGGCGATTCTTCTGCATGACCATTTTGCAATCCACCACCTTCACTGTCAGGGTGTGCCCATTGGTCCCAGGACGCAGCTGATCAACCTTTGTAAAGACTGGTTTTCTCAATCCAGACTTTGTATCAGACATTTCTGAGAAATAACCAAACACAGAAAAGATACTCACACTAGAAAAACCTTTATAATTCTCAGTGACCATTACAATACACCAATCATAGAGGACGACATCATTCTGTCACAGTAATTTAAAATGTTAACTACAGATGGTATAATTCAAGAACAAGCATATATGATGATGCTACTGGCATAAAACCATTACTAGCTCTTAGTGTCATAATATAGCTAACTTAGTGAAAGGAGGAGATAAATACAATCCAATCTACATATGCGAAGCAGATAGCAGTTGGTGCTGCTATATGAAGTTCAACCTAACTGTGTACACAACAATAATGTTATATATGAACCCTAATTATGCACGCAACATCATTAAATGATGACTCCAGTACTATCATTTAAGCTAAAAGGGAAGTTGGATGACTTTGTGGCACGACCCGGCTATCTTTCATTAGCGTTTTTAACTGATGAGCTGAAAGCGCTTTGAATTTATCCACATAAATAACAGATTCTACCATAATTGTAGAAGCTGCGTTAGAGGCAAATTATAGCAACAGTCGAAGACTTCCTATACGAATGAACCAAGAGAGAATTTGACGAAATTTGTCATTATCATGGTCCGAAAAATTTCAAAGATCGAAATGGGCTAAAAAATTGCAATATTAATTCGATCGAGACCAGACAACGTTGCAGTCGACTTATTTCACTCTTTTACCGATCATTAAACAGAACCCAAGCGTGAGAATTCCCTCAGCAAAATAAAAATGGAATCTGACACTAAAATTAGAAGAAAAATGCAACTATTCCAGGTACGATATCGAAGGCTATGACACAGAAGAATTCAAATCCCGAGATCAAAAGAAGGCGCTTGAAAAAATTGAGAGCCAAAAGGGAACAAACAAGACAAGAAATCTGGAGATCGGGGCCGCAGTCGGAGAAGAAAACACGATCGGAGACCTAATTAACAAACCAATTGCAGATCGCAAGACGCAAGTTAAAAAAGATCACCCTTTTTCGTACAACCCAGTAGAGGAGACGGAGATCTCTTTCGCCGTCGACAGGGAAAGGGGAGACTTCGGGAGCTCGTCTCGTGAAGAAAGAAGGGAGCGTTCTTATAGCCGTTCGATCAGATTATCTCGGCCGTACATCTGGGTGGCAGCCGTCGCGAGAAGTGAGCACGTATGGCAGATGGTTCTGCATTCAATGAATTTACTGATATGGGCTTCAAATCCTGTTCGGATAAGGTCCCCTTTAACTTACTTTATCACCCATGTACTGGCTTTTATTTGTTGCCTTATATTGATACGTCGGAAAACGGAGCTGATCCGATACAAAAGACGTTGCGCTAACTCATCAATAAGCGAACTTGGGCCCACCGCGACTTGTCCAGTCAATAAATGATAAGGAATTCTAACAAAAGTAGTTCAAGTTTTTAGGGGTATTTGGGAGAACAACACTGATGCACGTGTTGATTAACCAGACGCTGAACACGATTTTGTTGTTTCTTTTGGTGTACGAAATCCCAACTATTTGTAGCTCTTAAATTGCACCGTCCAAATCCCTAATCCTCTTATCCGGCAACAGGGGATCTAGTGTAGCGAGAGAGATGTCGTTGACGAACTCGTGGGCCGCGGCAGCGCCGCCGCCTCCGGGACCCCTTCTCCGTCCTCCGAAACTCGAACCGTCATCGGGGGAGCTGCGCTTCCTTAGCCTCGCCGCCCCGTCTCCCCGGCGCCCCGCCCTGAGGAGAAACCGTGGCCCTCCCGCCCTCTCTTGTCAGCGCGGCGACTTTGCCTCCAACAACACCACCAGCGGCGGTGGAATCTGCTCCGATTGGGATTGGAACCGTTGGAACCAACATTTCTCCGAGACCGACCAGGCCGAGAGCTTTTCCTCTCTTCTCAAGGTAAGTGCCACCCTCGATCCACCACGGATGCCTTATCTCATCCCTTCTTCATGATCTTCGTTTTTTTTTTGAGGTTTCTAGTGTATGATCGTGCAATATTGGCTTCCTTTTGAACTACATATCTGCACTATTCAAATCTAAAATTGAGGCAGTTCGAATGTATTCCACCGAGAAATTGAACATGTCAGCGTTGATGAATCACAAACAATTAGAAAAATGCCGGACACGAACAGTTTGAAAGAAAAACGGACAAAGACGATGTTTTCATAATGCAAAAGGAGCTACTCGTGCAGATTGTGTTTATTTGGTCAGGTAAACATAAAAGGATACAATAACTCAGAGAATGAGGATTGGATTTTGAGTTTTTGCCATATGGAACAGCAATTCTTCCACTGTTTTTGGTTATCATGAAACAATCTCTAGAACAAAGAAAGTCCTGAGCGAGATCTAGGTTGACGGCAGTGAGCTTCTGTGTGTGAATTGTGTAGGAACCAGTTTCTAGCCAAGAAACTTCAATACAGTGTTCCTGTATTTGATGTTTTCCTGGAAAGATGCACAGAGAAAAAAACAAAAAGATGGGTTTTTACAGACCTCTCTCGACTTATGTTCATTGTCAATGTTACATGGTCGATGAGTTATAGTTATACACCAATGTAACAGTGTACATTATCTAACAAATAAGTCTGATGCATCTATATCATTGGATTTAAAAGTACAAGCAAAAACCTGTGACTATCAAAGTGAACAAGATTATGTGCTGCAAAAGGTTTAAAATTAATAACAGAATATCAGTGAAGCTGCAGCATGTGGATAGTATATCTGGGCTTCATGTGCATGAAGCCCAGATGCTTGCATTCATGATGCACAACCTTTTGTCATGGCAGCAAAATTGATAGTTCTGCTGTTGATTTTTAGAGGGGAAAATCTCTTTACTAGATCTGGCTGACAACTGATGATATGATATAGGATTTCACAGTTCCAAAATTCTTTTTGATGTAGATCAAATCTGTCATTGGCTAGAGTTTTAAAATGGACTTTCTTTAATTAAATTGTTATGTCATCAATTCCTGTTTGTAAATTTTATTTCACAAAGTTTACCTTTTTTCTTTGTCTGACTTGGATTTTTAGCTTCTTTTCAGCACTATGTATGAATCATGTGTTTCATCACTATATACAACTGTTCTGATTCCAACTATCTTTCAGCATTTAAAAGCTGTCTTATGTAGGTAAAGTTATGTAAATATATTGTATTGTTGCTATTCTTAGTTTTTTTTGGATCTTCTAGCTGTTTACTGCCCATGGTGGTATAATGCATTTGAGAATACGCTATCCAACCATGGTGTTGGCCTTTTTTTTCTCGGAAAAATGCTGATGTGTCTACAAATTTGTATGTTAGTTTCAACTTGAAGAAGCTGTTGAAAGGGAAGATTTTCTGGAAGCTGCCAAATTGAAAGCAGCTATTGCAGAAGCAACATCAAAGGACGCTGTTGCAGAAGTTATGTCTGAGTTGAAGGCAAGATTTTTCTTCCTTCTGTTATGGAACTGCTAATTGAGGAGAGCTAAAAAAACACAAAATTGATTTCTTCTATGCAGTATGCTATAGAAGAAGAGCGTTATCATGATGCATCAAGATTATGTATGCTTTCTGGGAGTGGACTGGTAATTTCTAGTCCTAATAAACTTTAATGCATCATGAATGTACTGAATTTTGATATCCTATCCTTTTAGAAGATTACTATCTGTTGTGTGCTTCAATTTTTTTTTTAATTACATATGATTAATTGATCATATATAGAATTTCATAATCTCTCTGGTTTTCTGAAGTTTTCTTGACAGAATTTTTAGAGAATATAATTTGGATGAGTCTACTCTCATAATAAAATCCTTTTGTGAGTGCTACGTCGACAACAAAGAGTGGTTGTGAGACTTAAGGCAATAAAATAGAGGAAGGAAAAGAAGAGGAGGTAGAAAGGTGGCAGCAACAACAAAGAGAAAGAAAAGCAATGCTGGAGATTCAAACTAAGGCAACAGACAGTATTGAATATCAGGGAAAAAAGGAAGTGAGTTCATTAACAAAGTAAAACACGCAATACTAATAACATCAGAAAACATGGTATTAATTTGAGCCATGTCTTGTGCTTTCTTCATTTACTTTGGAAGGGACAGTGTGCGGCCTATGACTCTAGGTTTTCTTTTTCAAATTGGAATGTTCATCTTTAGGTGTTTTCTTTTAGCCAACTCCACTGTTGTCTAAAATATAGTCTCACAAGCCTGAGTTAGATAGAGTGGGGAGATTGAGAGTGGGTATAGAGAGGAGGGGAACAAGGGATTTGGTAGTCATCATCATCGGTTTTATAGAGGTGGAAATTCAGGTGGTGTTGGAAAGGGAAGTGAGTGGGGGAAGCTCTATTGTGGAGGTTCAATACATATGAAAACATGTTTAGGTGTCTACTGACCGAGGGAGTTCAATAAGGACCATGGTGCCTGCTGACAGTGAGTAGCTTGTTTTGCGGAGGGCGCATGACCATACATATATATATATATATATATATATATATATATATATATATATATATATATATATATATATATGTGCGTCAAATGAATCAGCAGCTAAGGTCTTGCTTACGATGAGCAGCTAATGTGAAAATTCCGACTTTGTTCTTTGCCATCCTAAACAGAAATAGGTTAAGTGAAATTAGTGAATAACATGTCATGTTGGCATGGTAACCTATCCCTCTTGTCCTTCCTGCCCCTTGCATTCAACATTTAGGATTCATCTTCTTAGACATTTCAGATTTATTCAACCCATTTGTGGTGTATTTGTTTTATATATTACTAGATAGTGTGAATCATCTTGTGTCCACATCTTCTCCTCTTTATTCCAAGACACCAGCATCATATATCTCTTACCTTCTGATATGCTGCTAGTCAAAGCAGGTTATTCTAGATGATTTTTTTTTTCAGGTTGGTTGGTGGGCAGGCTGGGCAAAGGATTCTGGTGATCCTTTTGGCAGAATAGTCAGGATAACCCCTGCTGTTGGAAGATACATAGCCAAGAGTTACAGTCCAAGGTAAGATTCTTGAGTTCTCCTGTGAACCTAGATTAACCATTATAACCCCCAGAATTCTCTTTCAGGCAACTGCTAAGTGGATCTTCAGGAACACCATTATTTGAAATATTTCTTGTCAAAGATGATGATGGTAAATTTTTAACACAGGTACACTGATAATGATACAAGCTCTTCCTACTATCATATGGCCAGTTGTTTATTCACATCTGACACATGGTACTAGACAGGTAGTAGCACTGCAGCCAGTTAAAGAAACTTCAACCTTGTCTACTTCATCACCGTCGAGAGGCATAGATGACACACCCATATCACCTTCTCTGAAATCATCCATCAAAGTTAGTCCAACTACTGATGAGGTTGGAAGTGAAAGTAGCAAAGATTCAGAAGAAGAAAACAAAATGGATGCAGCTAAGATCAGGAATGTAGATAATGTCATTAATAAGGATTCTGATGAAGAAGGGCTGAAGAGCATTATAAATTTTTTCAAGGAAAGAATTCCTGGTTTCAATGTTAATTTAGCAAACAACTCTGTCCAAGAGGAAATTAAGATGGATGCAGAATCGTCAGAGCAGTTGGTGCAGGAAGATGATGAGAAGGATGGGTCTCCTGAATATTCCGTTAATGATGACAGTAAATCAGAAAATAGTCAGGGAGAGATGCTTCCCGATGGTGAGGATGCTGACTTAGCCAATAAAAGTAAAGATATGGCTGTGAAGCTTTTTGTTGGTGGAGTTCTTCATAACAAAGATGATTCCATGACAAAGTCATATAAACGTATTCCTGCAGAAATGAAAGATGTGGAGAAGGGCTCATTCACATTGTATCTTCTTGGGCGAAGTTCTGATCCACATATTGTAGAAAGAAAGCCTGAAAAAATCAGGGTTGCTGCTGTTGCTACTCAATCAGCCTCAGATCTTATGCCTCCCGATGTTGCAAATGCATTCTTCAGTTCGGACAAAGCAATTTCAAAGGTTGGAAATATGTTTTCTTCTAAGGATAATGATTTCCTATTTCCTTGGAATTCATCAAAGAGTTGCTTATCTGACTTGGCAAAAATTTCATTACCAAGTTTGGTAATGGCTAATGTTGATTTTTTTTCCCTTTTGATTTCACATTATTGATACTTGTGTT